TCCCTACATAAAAAAAAAAATCTGCTACAGTAACCATGGTTGTTCTAAACACATTCATTTACATTACACAAATACATTTCAGTGTTCAGGCAGATTAAAAATTGCTTTAACAGTTAAAGTCTTAAGAATGGCAATTAAAAAAATACCTTCCTTCAGAAGACTGAGCAAAGATCTCACCAAACTTAAAGTTCCATAGCTGAAGGAATCTGGTTCTGGACAGTTCAACAATATTACTGTATACAGTGTTACCTGTGAGTATATCCTTGTAGCATTGAAATAGAAGTTTAACCATATTTTCTCAAGACTGTTTGCAAATGATTATTTACCTTCAAACACAATCCAACTCAACACCTGCTTTTGAACACAAAAGTGTCTAAACCACCCGACTTACCAGGTACAATGTTTTCTGAATCCAGATGCTATTAAGTGCACAAAATAACTTTGAAATTAGATTTCAAGTCTCTCGGGATTCAGTATACTTACTACATTTCTCAGAGGCCATAACATTGGCACAGTTTAATGTACTAACCTGCCAAATTGATGAGCATTCAAAATGCCAATTTTACAGATATGTTTAGAAGACAGTCCTATTTTTTAAAAAAAAATCTAAATAAATATTCAGATATACATTAATCTATTTCCTCAGGTTTTTTTATGACAATGGTAATCGTAACAATTAAGGTTCATGTGGGAGACAGCTTGTGCTCTATTTTAAGTAGGCAGGATCTCCAGTTTAGAACCTCTTTTTTTGCTTAAGTCCAGAAACCAAGAAATGTTCAAGACACAATGCAAAGTTCAGTTTAACAAGAGCAAAGTATGCTATCAAAAACCCTGGTGCATTTCCTGGGTACTCTTGACATTATTTGTATGCCATGAAGCATAGTCAAGCTGATGTACCTCTGAAATGGCAGGAAGTATGAGCTATCTGTTTTAAAGTTGTAAATTAAATACTACGCAAATTCTTCAAGCATTAAATGCCATCAGAGCACATTCATGATACTTAACACTTAGATAATTAACACTTAGATAATTAGCTTTCAAGAAATAATTTATCGTTTACATTCTAGTAGATTACCTCATGTAACATTGACTGTTCAGCTATCTTCAAATCTAATAGAATATACACCCACATAGCAGTAGTTTTTAGACCATGAATGGTTGAGAAGTTCTGTGTTGAAGTGTTTTGATCCTTTTGAATTATGTTTATTTATCCCCCCCAAACGAAGTAGGGACTAAAGCAGTCATTGTCCTGTGATGCATGGACAGCAGTTTAGAATTTCATTTGAGAAAAAGTTTACAGCTAAATAATATTCTCTTACCTGAATAGCAGCAAATGCTAGTGCTGCCCAGATGACATACATCATGATCTCCTGAAGCTTCTTTACAACCAGAGCCTCACACCCCTGAAACAAGTAGACTTCTTACATATCCACCTGGCAACCACATTTAACACACACCAAAAAGCCCCAAAGCAAAGAGGGCGGAAAGATAATCCAAACACTACAAAGAGTCATTACTTAGTATATCACAGATGAAAAAAGGAGAGAGAGGGGGTTTTTCCCCCCCTCTAGAAACCATGTTTGTTTCCTGTTAAAGCAAATACACCCCAGACTTCACACTCCCACTAAAAAGAAAGTTAAATTATTGTCAGCAAAAGCATGTGGCTATGTAAATTCATATTTCATCTGTCTTACCTCAGAATAAAGGTCCATTGGGCGGGTCAAACTGCCAGTACAATTGCTGAGGGCTGCTTTGCAACAGCTAAGCGGCACACTGTTATTTTTAGTTTGTTTGAACCAGACAGTATTCTCCCAGTCTGAATAGTTATGGATCCCACAGCAGCGCAACTGAAAAATCATACAGGTAAAGAGCCAATGTGTTTATCAGTCAGTAAGTGGGATAAGACAGCAATTCTAAATGCTATGCCAAGAACCCAAGCATATTAAGATTATGTTCCATTGCAGAAAAATATATAAATACTAAGTACTTGAATCCAAACATTGATTCATAGATAACCAATTACACAAAATGCATCTCCCCATCAACACTGTCATAATTCTACTAATTTTAACTGAGTTAAGCATTTATTGACCAATCAGCTGTTTCCCAGATTTGTCAGAACAGAGAAAGATATGCAACACAAGTAGCAAAGCTACACAGCATCTGTTTTAAGGACAGAAAGGACTGAGAAGTTCCCATGTGTCTTGCTGTCTCACCTGCCTCTGTACATAGTCAATAGCACGACTGGCTGCATCAGGATTTGTCCCATTGTATCCATTATATACTTTCCGAATGCTGTGATCAACTTCATCCTCCACCTGTTAAGTATTTAGGAAAGCATCTGCATTAGCACACCAACAGAAATAGTACAGGTCTAGGTAAAATTATTTCACTTCTAATTATAGCAATTCTGGAAAACAAGGTAACTCCCTATCACCTGAAAACAGCATACTCTGGTGGTACAGCTTCTTAAAATTCTACCTAGACTTTTGCAAAGTTGTTGCTAGCTTGCAGCTAATAGACAAGAAAAAAACCCAAGCAGATGTCTTCCGTAAGACTTTAGACAAAGCAGCTTTGCAATGTATCTCGGAAAGGAAATGCTTTTATTATGACAGTGTCAGACATTCCATAAAGTTAAGGGCTCTCCATAAGAGCATGCATTCACCTTTCCACTTCCTACTTCTCTTTCAAAGTATAACCATCTAGGCTAACCCACTCCCTTTCTGACCGCAAGGATACAAGTCATACCACCTGTCCTTCCCATTCTGATCAAAGCACAGATACATTCTCAGAGACTAGGTCTTTCAGCTGACTATTCTACCCTACAATGACCAAGCTCTCTGTTCAGTCCCAGTCCCTCCACATTTCCCGAGAAACACTGATGACAGTACATTGCACATAGCAACAGATACTGGAATAGCTCCTAAAGCTACTGCATATGACTCAAGCTGCTAAAGATGCTGTCAAGTACATGTGTTAGAAATGGATGCCACCCAAGAATCATAACTTGGCCTCCAAAAATGTATCTTATAATGCCCATTTTGTAGGAAATCTTACTAGAACCTTTTAAATAGTATTTTTCTCTGTAAACTTACTTAAATGCACAGAAAGTTTGGTGTAGCTAAACATTTGTACAATAGTAAGATTGAATTGATTTTTTTCTATCACATTCAACAGGAATTAAGTGCAAGGACTGTAATCTTCAGGCTGAGCATTAACTAAGCATGCATGCATATTCTTTAGATTTGCAAGTTACAGTAGGAAGGTCCTGCCAACACAGCTTTCCCTTAAATGCTTTAATAGAAGAATTTTCTGCAGCAATAGCACAAGCTTCATTTCCCCCACCCAAGAATGCTGTTATCTTTACAACTAAATCTGTATCAAGACAGACATGAATAAAAGTCAGTTTAGCCTGCACAGGCAACTTATTTCAGACTAGCTTAAAATCAATTGTTTGATGATTTAACTAATGTGATTTACAACTCTGATTCATGTAACAAAACAGCTGTTCAATTTGTCATATAGGTTTTTAAATCATTTATTTCAGTGCTTGCTTGTATATAATTTGGCTTATGGTTCAATTAGGGCAACATTATGCCTGAAAGCCATGCAAATTATGTACAATGCAAACAGAAGTCACTAGGCTCTAGCTAACTGGCAGGTTTTATGAAAAATGAGGAGAGTGAACTACTCCACCCAGGGGAAAAAAAAGCCAGTAGGCCCTCAGCCAACTAACAGCCTGTTTAATCCCCACTGCCATTTAGAAAAAGCCTTACTTTCACTGATAAGGACCAATGCTAGCAGATTCTGTAGCAGGTCAGTATATCACAATATGACCTAGGTGTGCTTCACATTGTTCTGAAGGAGGACTCGTCTGAATTGGATCCATACACACAGGTTTACAGAGGCACATTGGAAAATTAAGCAATTTTAAGATCAGTCATTGTATTTTAACTTAAAGGGGCACAATACTACTTTCTTGAGACATTACACTCTAGTCTCACTTGGTACCAACAGTTTTGATGAACAACTGCCATGACTTCCATCTTTTCTTTTGTTTGTAAAGTTTTGTTTGGAAGTTTATACAGTTAACACTAAAGTAATTCTACATGATTTGGCTGCCTTTAAAAAAACAAAACAAAACAAAAAACAACCCAACCCCCCACAGATCTTTACATGCATGTCAGAAACAACAGAACAAAAATCAGTACAGAGCTGCCTTATTTATCCTGGCAAAAATAATCAGAAATCTAAAGAGATTTCACTCCCCAGTTCACTGGTAATGAATTTATTTCTGACATTCCTGTTGCACTTGAAAACAATAGTTTAAGATGCTAAGTACTCCAGGGTAGTAGAAAACTGCCATTTTTATTAACAAAAATCTGTCCTTTCAAAATATTTAAGATTTAGTTTTCAAATGCAGACTCCCACAAATGGCTTAACACAAGACCATGCTGCCACCAAAAAGACTACCTTCTCTCTTCCCCCAGGCTCTGACCCTGCATTACCTACAGCTGTGAAACTACATGGTAGCAAGACAAATGAGAGGCAACAGGAACACACAGCTGGGAGCAATCCAATTTTCAAGTGTTCCAAGAGTGTTATTTCAGATGGGCTAGGGAATAAAGATCTATGCATCTGCTTTTACCTACTCTGAATGCTGTTAGCTGGAAAAGAGCCACTTTAAGACCAGAACACAGAAGAGAATAAGATAATCGCAGCTTAGTCCAGATCAGATCCATGGTAATTTCCGAGTAACTATACTGTAATACACTATGCCTCTGCAAGTATTGGAGCAGAAGGCAACCACTCAACATACAAGAACTCTACATGTTTCCTTCTCATTCTCCAGGAATTGTACTGCTTTCCTCAGCTGCTTCTAAGGACTACTCCTGCTACAAGCTTCAGAGTCCCAAATGATCTTCTCAGTGCACTGCCAAGATACCAGAAATCAAATGCAGACCATGAGAAAAATATATCCTGAATTTAAGCATCGCCAATAGAGCATTTCTGTTGAAGCAACCTATTCTAACTGTTATTAAGCCAGTTCAATGCATAGTTCAAGGTCTTCTTGTTAGCTGCTTACTCAAGGCAGCCTTCCTTTTGCTTGATGGTTGTCTTACCATTTCTTCCAGGATAGCAGGACAAAGCAAGAAGGAGAGAATACTGAACTAGTAAGACCCATGTTGTTTATATAAACACAGAAGACCAAAGAAAGGTAAATGATGCTGTAGTTCAGCTTGCTATTAAGGTATCACTGGAGTGTTCTATAATGCAATCATACTGGATGTCAAAGCTAAAAATGCCTTTTCTGCTCATTTTTTTTGGCAAAATTTACATATAGGCATAACAAAGCCAGTGAAACTGTGCAAGTTAGAAATTTATTTTCTTTAAGCTACACTGTGGTATCTCTAATACCATGCAGTATATTTGCCACATATTATGCTGGTAGAAACACAATTAATTTCATTTTTTGGTTCTGTTTCTTAACTTCCATTAAACAACCAGTGGGAGAAGTCATAACTTCTTTAGCCATGACCCTTATCAACAACCTGTATAAAGCTAGACCTTATATATTAACACATTCAATCTACTTTATTTTATTATTGTGCAGTGTTAGTTTGTATAGCAAAGCACCAGACAACATTTAAGTTACTGCATATCAAACAATATGTCCTATGTTCAAATATTGTGTAATCTAAATCATTCAAAGTCAAAGCATAAATAAATTAGAAGACCATCTGGAAAATGGAAAGGTACCAACCTCTACTGTTCAACTGTTATGATATATTCCATCTAGTTTTTGCCTACAAGAAAACTTTCTGCTTTACTTTGAAGAATATTATGTTCTAAATTTTAAGATACAGGTATCTCAAATTAACCCACTTAGAGGTTTGGTTTTATTCCCGTAACAAATACCCACTAACAGTTCTACAGAATCAAACACAGTAAAGACTATACCTCTGTATTTTGGAAACAGTTCACAACAAAACTTTTACTGAAATTGAGAAGTTATTACCTTTGCTCTGTAAATGTACCCAAGAACCACCACCACAACTTCAGTGATAAAAACCAAGAGCAGGATGATCACAAACTGCAAAATACAATCAAGAGTGTTTTTGCAAATAGTTACCCATTTACTTTCTGAATGTCCCCATATAGATTTTGCTATTTAAAGTAAGTTTTCAGGTAAGGTTTTGATTTAACAGATAACAAAGCAGGCAATTAAATTGACCAGATGGGCCCAGAATTAACTTAAGTCAAGAAACTTCCATAGCTTCGCCAAGTAATAAGAAGCCACCCAGCCAGGCAAGTGCTGATCATTAGGACTGAAAACACTATACTGGAGTGCTTTAATCAAGTGTTTCTTTCAATCTTCTTTCTATTAGATAAATATGAACATCACATCAAAGAAGCTACCCAGGCTGTTACTAACTGTGGTAGATGGACTAAGGGAATGTTTCTTCGATTAAGCCCTGTAACAACTGACAGAGACAGCAAGCTATGTATTTGTCTTGGTATATTTCAGAATACTTTTAAAATAAACTGTTAAAGTAGTCTACACAGCATCCAGCAAAAAAACCAAAAACACCCTGTGGGGACCATTTAAATACTGTCCTCTCTTCTCTCCTACCTAATTCTCAAGCTGAAATGACAGTTAAAATGCTTGGAAACACATGGCATAAAATACTGCAAGCAAACTGTCCAAATGAAGCCATGAAGAAAAATATTTAGGCATCATAATAACTCTCAGTTAACATTGATGCAAGATACTTAAAACAAGAAGGCTCCTGTAGCACCTTTCTCTCTCCCCAATTTCAGCTTTTAAACCAGAACAGCTAAGAGTGAGATTTCAAAACTGTTATGACTTAATCATATGGTTTTGCATTTTAATGAGATTACAACAGTTCTATAAAAGGTAAACCTAAGGAGCCTTCTGCTGTGAGAATTGGCTAATTTAACACCATTATTCAGAACAGAAAATTGAAGTAAGATGTTCATAACAAAATATATGGGGAAAACATTTAAGGCCATAATATAAAATTAGGGAAAGGCAGCCAAATATACAACAAGCAAACACCATCACATGAAAACTCTACAACTTACTGTAGCAAGTCCACAGCGACTTTCTCGAATTGTGGCACAGCACCCAATAAGTCCAATAATAAAAAGAAGTGTTCCCACAGCTATGATAATAACAGCTGGAATTAGCGTGTAGACATCTTCAAAGAAGTGATCATAGTCATCATATGTGATGAACACATAGGCTCCCACGTAGCACAGTATGCCTGCTGCTGCCTACAACAGACACAATAACATGGTAAGTTTCTTTAACACCAATCCTCCTTTTCAACAAGGCTACTTTGCAATAATTATTTTATCTAACACTGTAAAGTAGTCTTCCTCAGAAATTAGGGTTTTTTTTAACTTTAGACATCTTTGTTAGGTTATAGCATATGTTTGTGTCCTAGTTTCAGCTGCGATTGAGTTACTTTTCTTCTTAGTGCTGTTTTGGATTTAGTATGAGAAGAGTGTTGATAACACACTGATGCTTTAGTTGTTGCTAAGTAGTGCTTAGATTAGTCAAGGACTTTTCCTCTTCCAATGCTCTGCCAGGTGCACAGGAAGCTGGGAGGAGGGGCACAGCCAGAACAGCCAACCCAAACTGACCAAAGGGCTATTCTATACCATATGACACCATGCTCAGTATATAAACTGGGGGAAGAAGAAGGAAAGGGGGGACATTCGGAGTGATGCCGTTCGTCTTCCCAAGTCACTGTTATGCATGATGGAGCCCTGCTTTCCTGGAGATGACTGAACACCTGCCTGCTGATGGGAAGGAGTGAATGAATTCCTTATTTGCTTTGCTTGCATGCACAGCTTTTGCTTTACCTATTAAACTGTCCTTATCTCAACCCACATGTTTTCTCACTTTTACTCTTCTGATTCTCTCACCCATCCCATTGTGGGGGAAGTGAGCGAGCAGCTGTGTGGTGCTTAGTTGCTGGCTGGGGCTAAACCATGACGGTTTGTTAGGAACATCTCAAATGGAGGCTAGGAAGTAGTTTTCAAACTACATTTAATCTAGGCAGAGTTAATTTTGACTACACCGTGGAAGTCTTCTGAGGCACATAGTCAAGAAATGAGGGTAACCATGCTACAAACACCAAAATCTTGCTCCTGTTTCTCAAATACTTCCTTCCCATGCTGTGAACTACAATATCTACATAGTCTAGCATTCACAAATTGTCTGATACTTTTGAGAACAGGGCTCCAGCCCATCCAAGCAGCAAGTTATTTGCTATTCAACAGCTTTTCAGAACACGTATGCAGTTCTTTTATCTGCCATTATTTACCTACTACTTATTCTTCCGTTTTGCTGATTACTACCTATGATTTCATCTTAGAACACATTGCATACTTTAACCTCTGCTAGGTTTTTTTTACTGCTAGAAACAGCCTTTCTGAAGCATTCACAGCACTGGGAAATAGGATTCTAACCAACAAAGCAGATAGGAACAAATATAAAACACCAATTATTAAAAGACAGAACCAAATACCTACAGACACATACTACAAAACTTTCCAATTTTTAAAAGAGATGTTCTCAGAAGAATGATTGTACAAAATGGTCTTTAATCAACAACAAAAAAATCACATATTACTGCAAGTAAGACCTGTAGGATGGATCTGCCACTATACAGATTTAAAACTCTAAGACAAAGCACTTCCATCAATCTGATATGACTTTACCTCCCTTACAGATACAGGGATCCCAACACATCAATACCTTCATTAACTTTAATCTGAGCAGACCTAGTGAAGGACAGACAGCTGTTGCTTGAGGAGCTAGCTAACAAACATTTATTTCAAAATAAAAAGGCCTTATCAATTTTTACTTTACAAATGTCTTTCATCACTGTCTCTGCACTTGCTGCAGAATGAAACAGTCCTGCTATATATTAAAATGAAATATTTATATTCAGTTAATTTGCAATGATGGACATTATAATTTGAGTATTTCATGACACACTTTTCTAGTGTCCCAATACAAAGCTAAGTAAAACAATCCACTTCGAAGATGCAATGACTAAGCTATGATCTTGGGGATTTCATTTTGCTGTAAAGGGTAGTGTCCCCATTACAGTCCCATCCACACCCTGGACACAAGAGCTCACTCAACTGGAGTATTAGACACTTCAGTTCTGATGTGAGGAAGAACACTGCAGACTGCCTCCAGCTCTCCTTTCCCACTCAGTGGCCTTGTAACTACCCCTATCCCTGCACTGCAAAGATGAGGGTGGACAGACGCATATATAGCTAGTTCCAGGAGCTATAATACCACAGAACTGGGTCATGCTATCGTAGAATCAAAGAATCAATTAATAGTTCAAGCCAGGAGGGACCTCAGGAGATCATTTAGTCCAATTTCCTGCTCAAAGCAGGCTCAACAATGAATTCAGCCCAGGTTGCTCAAGGCTTTGTCCAAAGTCTTGAAAATCTAGGGATGGAGGTTCCAAAGCTTCCCTAGGCAACCTGTTCCGTGTGGCACAGAACAAGACAAGCCATAAGATGACTGGTACCTAGTATTTCAGCACTGTTTGCTACCATGTACTAACAATACTGCAATATTACTGCAACTATTTCTTATAAAACAATACTAGAATAAACACTACTAGAATAATACTTTACATATGGAATATACCCCGCAGCACTTTGTTACAGAAACACTACGTCAAAGAAAAAATTATTAAGAGCCAGCTCAAATGCATCACCGGTTCTGTATGGATTTGTACAATATATTGCACTTCTTTGCCTCTCTTTCTGCAGTGAAGGTAAGTGTATACTCTGCAGGAATCTTAAAAGCATCCAGGAGGCTCACATTCATTCAAGAAAAGGTGCTATGTCGACACAACAGTAGTGAAGCTGAAAATTCAGTAACAAAGACCAACAGCAAGACGTCTTCTCCAGACAAGAAAATCTGAAGTAAACAAGCTATTACAAAATTGCCCCTTTGCGCAAAAGATGTTGAAATGCTAATCCAACTATACAAATCCTGCTATGTTAGGTACAACATGGCAAAGTACAGACATACAATTTCTGTACACAAAGCAAAGATTCAAAGTCATGTCACTGAACAATGGAATTACATTAACTGTTGCCTAGCAATGACGCACGTGAATGACAGGACAGTGATGTAATCTCCTATTTCTAAGAACTAAAATGCATGTTAGAAATATGGTATATTGCAAGATGGCAGATGAAAAACACAGCTGTGGCTGGCATCGGGCACAGAAAATATACCACAAAACTGAAATCAGAACCATTTGTGAACCCCTTTGTCCTTCTCTGTTGTCTGAAATTTAAGTGGCTTCCTTCTCTTCTACAAAAAAAAATCTGGTTTATAAACTGCATGAGCACATATATTTAAAGAATATATTTGAAACAAAAAAAGTTTAACCTTTAAAAACACTGTCTACAGGTGTTAGCTTTCCTTCCCTACTTCAAGAAGCATATACATTTTAAGAAACTTTGCTCTTCCGGTATTATGCCAGACAAGATGAATCTGACAAGTATAGCAATTAAATATTGTCTCAGAAACTAAGAAAAGCCACACTTCTCTGCTTGTTAAAAAATTAGTATTTTGTAATGACTATTGGAAAAGGAGATTTTTCTTTAAACTTCTCAGATTAAAGCAGCCTGGTCTGAAGACTTCACTAAATCCTTTCCACACATGGTTCTATAATGACTAATCAGCCATGACAACATTTGGCCTTAGGTTTTGCTTCTAAAGAAGGTGTTTCTGTGGAAGAAGCTACAGATTTTGGGAAGAGCAGTGTTCGTTCATACGTGTGTAAACCTTGCACTAGAATAACAAGGAAGTTTAAGATTAAGACATTGCCTCTATTTGACAAAGTGACCATATCCTTAAAAACTACTGCTCTCTCCTCCTCAGAATCACATCAACAAGAAATCTTCATGGCAGGGGTAAGTCCTGAAAGCAAAGGTGCTTATGAACATTAAAGCTCCTTTCCTGTGTATCACAGTTTAATGCTATTTTTGAACAGGTACAAGACCTAGTCTATCACAGAACAATGAAAACATCCACACTACCCAGTCAGTTTACAGGAAAACAAGTTTCAAATGCCTTGCCTTCTCCTTTCACATCACAACCATGTGATGCTTAGTGTTTTTTGTCAGCCTGCTCTAAACCAGGAAGCTGGGGGGAGGTCTCCAAATCAGCATTTTCGCTGGGATTAGGGAAGTGCCTTTGAAGCAATCCTTTTTGCACATCTTCTGATTATTTTCACTTGCCACCTTCTGGCTTGCACCACTGAATGGTCTTAGGAGTGTATAACAGGACTCACTTTGGATGAAACTAGACCAGAAGATGAGTGCACTCACCATGCTAACTGCTAATAGGTGTTCGCTCGACAGGACCAGACTACTGAGTTGTGGGGAGGGAGGAAGGACCTCAGGCTAGTTTCAACATCTGGTCCTCAGCACAACTGGATTTTGTTCCACTTCCATAATACCATGTTATATGTTAATGTAAATAAAGCATAAATACTGCGACAAGAGATAAAGAGCTAGTTTTACCCATACAAAGTATACAATCTACACTGAGCAGTGCCACACCAGTTAAATTCGTATTACCTGTTGCAATCCAAAAATAAAGTTGAACATGTGCTTTTTAAAAGAAAACAGAAAAACCCCAAAACAGTACCATGCATTTCAATCATTGGCTCCTCTAGGGAATCATCTAACGAAACTGAAGTCTGTACCACAAAAAGCCACAAGGATAATTTAAAAAAAAAATAATAATCCAAATCTCAATGCTTATTATCAGAGTAAGTCCAAACTCACTCAAGTCAAAAGATATTTGAATAAAAAGCTACCACATTTACAATCATGCATTTCCAATATTAAATGGAAGCCAAATATATGAACTGTGCACAGTTCAAGTAAGTCTTTGATAAACAGGGCTTTTAAGGAAGAATTCTCGAACTTAATCTGCTCAAGGCTCTGAATAGGGATGGCAGCATCTCTTCAATCTGTGCCAGGTCACATGCATGCTCTAGGGAGATGACTGGTTATTCAGCATTCACACATCCCTTTAGAATTTGCATCTAACTTGTAGTACTGAACCCGAAGTGGCATACTCTTATCTTAGGATGAATTCACCTTTAAAATGACTGCAAAGGTAAGTACAGTCAATGAAGACAGTTAGTTGCAAAAGGTTTTGAGCAGTTAGACATCATCTTCATCAGAGTAAAAGTTTAAAAATACATAGACCT